ATTTCGCTGCTGTCAACTCCTATATTATGTAAATTATACTTTTATCATCTGTAAATATTCGTATTGGTAACAGATTTATATAAGCTTCGGCTTGTTTCTGAAACCAACATTAATCTATAGCATATGTATGATTTTGTAAATTATCAATAAATATTGTTTAAACAATGGTTGGAAATGATTTAAGGAACTACAAGAAGCCTTCGTTCAGATTTCAGATGAATCAAAGGATGCGTTCAGTCAAAAACAACATGCTTCATGTACGGGTAAGATAGTGTCGAATAGTAAAACGTTCAGAGCCACGTTGTTGGAATGTATTTTATGACAAAAAAGGAGAACCAAACTTTGGCTGCTGAGAAGGAGAATTTCCATTTGCTGCTGTATACTTGACGCTGGTTAATAAGAATTTGTAAACCAGATATACTGTCCAGCTAGCTTTGGTTGGACAGATGCAGTTCAGACCATGTTCTCTTGCACCATTTTCGGATTCATACAGCTGGTCTAGTAGCTGATTGATGAAGAGCAGGTACTGTTGTGCAGATAGCATACCGCCTTGACGAATACCTCTTTCTAGTAGGAAAGTAAAACCGCTACGTCGGACACGAAATTTCGGTGAAAATTATCAAATCGTCACTAAAATCGATGGGCATCATCTTAATAATGACATTAACCACCAAATTAAAAATTTTAAAAATCCATTAAGAATTGTTGGAACGTCTTTGGTAGGCAACTTGAAGAGGGTTTGGGAACTGATTCTTTATCTTACGTTGGACAAGTCTTCTTTCCATAGCTTTCTAAAAAAAAACTTCGCGATACTTCGTGTTATTGAAATTCCTCGGTATGAGTTTGGATCCCTGTGCCACTTTAAAAAATGGGAACGATAAAGCTATGTTCCCAGTCGTCAAGAATACAACCAATTTGAAGAACATCATTGAATAGGTTTGCTAAGCGTGCATGTATAGTTTTGCCACCAAATTTTATATGTTATGTTCATGCGTAATGTTGTTGATATCACCACATTTCTTATTCTTCAAGCCATTGCACAACTCGGTTATCTCATAAGTTGAGGTTAATAAATGTTCCTAACTTCCTATGTTACTTGGCGAGACTATCCTGGTTAGTGAGAAATGTTTAAACTAAATTCTATAAGACTCTCAGTGCTATTTTGGAGAGGATATTACAGGTCATACCAAAATGATTAGCAACATGTCATTTTATTAGCATTGTGGTCGAACAGAAGCTTGTGTCAAATGTATGGTGACAAATTATTTTGATATAGAAAATGACCATTTTAATAAAAAAAAATGAATAGTTTTTACCAGATAGTGAAAAGGTAATGAGTACTACCAACATAACTATTAATAAGCTTATCTATTGCTCTGTGACCCTGGCCAGTGTTTTCATTGAGATTTGTCTCAATACAACCAAACACTAGATATTGGATTAACAGAACAAAGGATGAAGTCATAGCTATTATTTTATTAGGATTAACGCACTATTTTTCTGTAATTATCATTGTGGAAGATTGCTAATAAATTGTTGTTCATTGTAATTAATGGTAAGAATTGTGAGAATTTAATAGTTACACTTCAATGCCTCTTCTACCTTCCCAACTCTTTACTTCATACCTTAGTAGTCATTCTATCTCAGGGTTTTGTACGGATTGTTCTCTCATCTTGTATCTGTATATTATTCATAGTTTACTATTATTCATATGTCAGTAGACATATTTTCAATGCATTATTTTTGGAATTTTGAGATAATTTACATTTTACAGGTATGTTAAATTTCAGTGCTTAGAAAGGTGTCGGCTTTTGTGAATTATGGAATAGTTTCAAGTGGGTCGGACATTTCTGCAATCTTTGATTTAATTTATTTAAAGAAGTGTGTCATACCATAATATATTTCCTTCTGTATTTGTTATATGTTCTGCCCGCTTCTAAATGTTGTTTGTTTTCTTTAAATACATTTCTAATACACAATCATTACCTTACACCTATACATAATTTTATTACAGATCTCCTTTTTAACTCTTTGGTGGTAATTTATTTCACCTTGACATTTAGGGTAAGCTTTATTTGTATTTATGCTTATTCAATTATTTCAATAGGTAAGTACGTGTGGGTTAATTGAGCATGTAAGTTATTAATGTTATATAATGTTTCTATTTAATGGTTGTGAAGTTTTCATTTTATCCCATTACCTGTTTGTGACATGATTTTTCTGATTTATTTTCGTTACATAATAAATCTGTATAGAATTGAACCCTTAGTGTAATGCTTTCTCTCCCCCTCCCCTCGAAAACATTATAGTAGAGAGAATACATTTGATGTACATGTGCAAGCAAATCAACAATGATGTTTATCAATTTTCAGAAACAAAAAACAAATATCATAAAACAACAGTAGTTAAAGATAGCTGCACTGCAATATGGAGGGTTATAATAATGATGGGTACGAAGATGGTAAGTTTTTGTAAAACACAGCTCGCCGATCGAAATAATTTCACTTTATTTTCTCTGAAAGGATGATGTGAATATTTCCAAATAATGGAACATAACGTATATTCCAATAGTATAGAATAACTTGTTAATGTATTGTATTCATAAATGCAATATGAAATATAGAAATGTTGCCTCTTCGTAAACGTGTGTAAAATTTGAAGTTTGTCTCAAAAGTTTGTATTTATCTGACTAAAGATTAAGTCTAAGTAAAGATAGAGCTTTTTGTCATAAAAAGCTATAATTTGCACGAATAGATATATATTAATATAAATAATAATAATTATAATGTTATACTGACCCTGTTTCATAGTGCAAATAACTTACCAAGACACTCGAAGTGACCTTTTGTAAGCCCAAGTTAGATCGGATATATAGGAATGCAAATGACAGCAGCTATGAATGTCATGATATTTCAATAATTGGAAGCCAATTGCGATAATTACCTTAGATTGCTTAGCATCACTTACTCTGTAACTTCTCTTTCAGATCTGTCCGATGAAGCCTATGTGGTTGATGATTATATGGTTGCTGATTATGAATCCTTCTCTTCTGATGATCATGCCGTAGCTGAAGATGACGCCACAATTCCTAGTATGCGAACTTCTGAGAAACCAAAGATTTCGATATGGAAAAGTGGAGTTCTCAAAAAACCACAATCAGCAACCGAAATAACAACGGAACAGCCATCTGCTCAAAAAGTGTCCAAACAAAAACAGAGAAGGTAAGAATAATAACAGCAAAAGTCTCAATTGATCATACTGTTTCAAATTTGTTATTATTTGAGCGATTGGGATATTCTTGAAAATCTTACAGACAACAAGACGTGATTTAAACTTGTGTATAATAGTATCAAGGTGTTTACGATAAAATAAACCAAGTACTAACGATCCGAACCCCAAACAAAACCCGAAACAACATTTTGACGAAATATTGGTAGCAGCTAATGACCTTTTCACATGAGGAAGTATATCAATCATATGTGAGTAAGTATTTCAAAATGAAAAGTGGTATCATGTGTCTAGAAGTGTAAGTATACCCTGTCTGGCGCCACATCTGTCATAGCTGCTCAACATACACAACACACACTACTAATAGGAACGCACCAACTGAAGAAATAGCGACAAGACGACGAATTTGTAAATAGCAATGGTCCATCGTAATACGCCCACCATTCTTATGGCAGCAAAGTCATTCGGGCGGTTGACAAGAGCTATCAATAAATCAAATATTTCGAGAGTAGCATTTTCATACTGCACAAGAAAATTCAAAGATTTATTTTTATATTTCAACAAGTTTCGTCTAAATCATTCCTGAGTTTTGTCTTCTGGAGTTTTACGAGCTAAAGATTGAAAACATTTTAAGATCAAGCGCAATAACTGATATTAAATAATTTTCGATTTTCTGCTTTTCAATAAGGTTTGGGTGATTCGACCAAATTTCTCTAAAATCTAAGAATTGTGCCTTTAATGTGATTTCGAGAAGAAGAGCAATAACTCATATTAAATGCTTTTTAAGTTTATTTTAATATCTATAGGGTACACCATTCAGAATAACAATTTCACCACATTTCACATAAATCTCTCAAGAATTGTGCTTTCTAAACATTTCACATGTTGAAATTGAACAAGTTTTCAAGAACAAGGGCAATAACTCATATAATTTAAATTTGTCTGATTTTTAATTGACAATTTCAATTTCAAACACTGACACCAAATTTTATCAAAATCAATCAAGAAACCAGCTCTCTATCGTGTCCACAACACATTTTCAATAAAAATTTGAACGCGTTTTTTAGAGCAGAACACGAACTCATATCAAGTATTTTTTTTATTTGTCTGAATTCAATTGGGTTCGACCGTAGGTGATTACAAAATTTCACATCAAGTTTTGTCAAAATCCATCAAGAAACAATCTCTCTGTCGTGGACAGACAGGGTTGACAAAAATATACGACCACATTATAATGTGGCCGTATAAAAAGTTAAAGGGACGTAACTGATTAAAGCACATATATATTAATTTCAATAGTTCAAGGAACGTAATTAAAATTCTCCAATTTCAATAGTCAAGGGAAGCTTTTGATCACAATAATTGTTACATTATAAGAAAAAAGTAAACAGCAGAATCCCCGAGGAAGTATTTAATGATGAAAAGTGGCATCAAGTTATCATAGAGTAAGCATACCCTGCCTAAAACCACACCCCAAAGTCTACAAATACAAAATGACAATGACAATGTCATCATAAAGCTATAACGATTCATTCCTGCTATACAATATGGCTTGGTCTTACTCATATTACCAAACTACCACTATTTCTACCCAGCCAGCACATTCTACCTTGGCGAGTAAGATAATCACTTAGTTTTAAAGTACAATCTAAAATAATTGTTTGTTTTCTTGCAGAAAGTTCATCTGGGATGTGTTCTCGGAATCATACGGTGTTCAAGGAACCCATTCTGAAAGAAGAAAATGGAGAAAGGTCAACGTAGCTGTGAAGATTATGCTATGCACAACCTTTTTCTTGTTGGTGCTTGGTACATCTACATTATCCAAGTTGTCTTTTATATTTATTACATTCTACATCAACCCGGGTACAGGGTTTGGGTTCTCTCACCAGGATCAATTTGTGGAAAATACAACTCATATTTATCAGTTGAAGAAAAGCATTACGCCGACCATTGATATTAAATGGATCTGGTCTTTGATTCTTATTTTATGTGCTCAATATCTATTTACATTTCTCCATTCGCTGTGGAAAATGATCTTTAAAAAGACTGGATCTATTCGATGTATACCATTTCTAGTGGTGAGTAGTTATAGTAATCTTTACTGGGATAGATGAATAACATTTCACACAGGGTGTACAATTCAACAAATGAATTAACCATGTCGATCACTTGTGTCCAAAACACGCCACAGTTTGTCATACTTACTCAGACCATGTCAAAACCCGGGATACGATGGTCGATCACATGATCATCAGCAAATGTTAAGGCTGAATATTTCTGACCGATTTTGAACAGTACATAATTATACTCAAAAAAGATCATCCGATGTGCAGTGGAGACCATTGTGCATAATAACCTTCGCGATCGAATATCGCCTATTTTGTTCATCAGTGTATCAATTAAAATCTAATGTCTTGTTATTATATTTTGATATTCCTTAAGACGAGCCTTCATTCAAACATTATCATGACATTTTTATTTTTAGTCAATGGTTACAGAAACTCTCCATTCCATTGGTCTATGTACTTTTATCTTTTATGTATTACCAAGCTTTGATCCCTTGATCGGCTGTATGCTAACGTGGAACGTTGCATCTATTCCTGGATTACTGAAAATCTTTCTTCCCAGTGTGTCATCTGGTTCAAAGCCGGTAAAAAACGATTTAAAAACAAAAACCTATGTAAGACGCTTTGTGGACACCGTAATGGTTACATTGCATCTTGGATGTATTGCTACATGGACCTACAACAGCTACTATAACCATAACATCTACGTTACAATACTACTTCCAATTTCTTTGTTTCTTATATCCATATCATGGTGGGACAACTTTGTGACAACATCTAAAGAGAGTAATAGGAAAGATGCTGAGACAACCAATGCAAAAGATGACACACAGCTGAATGGATGTATGTCTAGTGTCAAAGATTCCTTGGAGGAATGCAAGATAAGAACAACTTTTATAACATCAGCATGGAAAATTTTTCTAACAATAGGACTACCAGCTCTGTGTTTCTCATACGAGCACGTCGAGTGTCTTGAAACGTTCTTCTTTACCAAACGTCAATATGCAAAAGACTGTTCTGTATTTACAAATATTGAACTCCGAGATTCGAGACCACCGATTATTGGTGTTCCAGTGACGGAAAGCTGCCATAATATGCTTCCATTACTCGTGGCATGCCTGAACATATTGTCAAGTGTTATTTGCTATAAAACTGGAAAATCAGCCTGTAAGATCATGGCGCAAGTTCCATGCTTTACTGTACCAGTGATGTTATCAGGACCTTTATGTGTGGCAATTATTATATCTACATACACGTTTCCTGAGGAGATCACTCGCTTCTTTGGATGTACACTTCCATGGGTACATATAGGTGACTCAGCTATAAGTGATTTTCTGTTACATTTCACTTTAAAATGGTGGATACCCATCGGCCTCCTTGGATATATAACGATGCTTTACATTGTAGGACATACGTTTACACCTCGATCGGAACGTTTAGCCAGAACAGAAACGTAAGTGTTTTGGATACGTTCATGTCTCTATACGTTGACGCATACTATCGGGACCCATGTCCGTCCGCCCCTTTGGTGGAATTTCACACTTATCCCTCTGGCATCTACAGTTTTTTATAATATAATTTCTTGGTATATGTATGATGCACTAAAATGAAGTTCAGATTGGAGTTGAAGCACTTGAACCCACATGATATTGACCCCTCTTTTGGAGCATAGTGCAAATTGCAAACTCCCCCAGTTTTCATTAACAGGACTTTGGTCTTTATGATTTCAATCTTTTCGTTAAGGGGGCATTCTGCTGTTTTTGTAGGTCACACGCCAAAATATATAAAAACGCGTCCTTAACATATCTGAAAGTTTTGACGCCAAAATAACTTGAAAACATTACGTAAGGTTTTTAAGTTCGTTACGCTTTTTGGTAGGTTTAAGAAAACTACTATACTGCTTTAAGTGAAATAAACGCCAAATTGCAGAGAAACTTGTCTCTTTCTTATTCGGAAGCTTTCAACTAATAATATCAAGCCGTTATAAAGCGAAACATCAAACTGCTCAATTAATAATAAGTATTTTGAATGCTACCCCTGTATATTTTTATTTAGATTATTTGTAAAGCCATTGTTTTGTGGCGCTCTGGTAGAACAGTCTATATTATTAAATAGAAGGCGAGACGAAGAAGACAATAGAGAATACAAGGTGAGGGATTAACATGTCCTTGCACCTACTCGTACAAGTGTCCGATCTCACCTGAACCTACATATCTGAAAAATATTTTAACAAATAGTCACCTATAAAGACACTACTTAACAGTTAAATGTAAAATGTTAAGAGGTGGTAGCAGCCCATACTGAATTAGACCGAAACATCTGCCTGTATTTCAGCCTCTGATAGCTATTTTGAAACTGATCTGCCAAACTCAGATACGATGGAACGATGGATATAGTTCAGTCATGTCATCACAACCCCCCTTTACTATGAATTTCACGTCATTTTTTAACGGAACAAATCTCCTAAGATCTCTCTGTTCAAAACTGCATGCGCACCAAAAATACCAAGGGTCACAGACTCACATGATACTAACATGACTAAAACTTATTTAGAGTCATCGTAAAGGTAATTTAATAATATGCTAGGAAAATCCCAATTAATCAGGGCTTATTTTATTTGACTCTACTCAAGCCGATAACTGTCAAAATATCTCTCAAAGGCTGGAATGGAGGTAGATGTTTCTGACTTGAACTAGATGCAACCCGCTAGGATGGTATAGTTTTGAGGAATCGGAAAGCCTATCTCAGTTTATAAAAATTATTGTCGGCGGGGTTGATAACTTTCTGCTGAGGATAGTACAACTTGCACATTAATTATAGGTGAGTGGCGTGTGGCTCTCTGGTGACCAGATTGTTGATGACTCGGAAGACATTCCAGATAAGAAAAAAGATACTATACCACTAATCTATATATGCGCTACTATGTGGCACGAAACCGAGCAAGAGATGATAAATATGCTCAAGTCAATCTTTCGGTAAGATTTCATGGATGCGTTCTCTCTTTGATGGTGGGTGTAAACTCCCAGATGAAAATTGGGGACATTGGTACTGTATTGTTCCATTACTTCTTTAAGCGTTCGTGACTTGTGTGGGCTTGAGAATTCCAAATCGAAAGGAGATTTCAACCTTCTAAAGGTCTGGTAATTTTGTCGTTGACCATTGAGTAATATCATCATGAGATAAAATAAAATAGGACAAAAAAAAACCGTTTATTTCGGATAGCGTGGGTACGTAGCGGTTTCTTTATTAAAGAGATTAGATGGTTTCGATAGCAAAATAGGCATGAGGATGTATTAAATTAAATACTTTCGTGTTTCAGGTTGGATTCAGATCAGTCGGCCAGGAAGCTTGCACAACAATTCTTTGACTTAACAGATCCTGATTACTATGAATTTCAAGGTATTGATCGTTTTTTCTATTTTTTTTTTACTGGTACAGCTATCTTACATGCACAGGGAAATATGAAAAGAAAAGAAAACAAAAATGTTGTATTCAAGGTCAAAATATGTCTTTTTCAGGTCATATTTTCTTTGATGATGCTTTTCAATCCCATTCTGACGATGATTATGATTATATGGTGAATGATTTTGTGAAACAACTTGTTAGAACGATGCAAAAGGCAGCCAAGTAATCTATTGAATTCATTTTAAAGTATATACACGAGAAACAACCGATTATGTCAGTCATCAGGACAAATGTAAGATTTAGGGACAATGATGATGATGATGCTGTTTTTTTATGCTTAATTCAGATAATATGTCTCTCTTCGAAATAGTGATTAAGAGCCCCTTTGATTCAATTCCACATTTTAGAAAACAAAATTACATTGGTTTTACTCTTTGGTTGTTAGCCCTACATCTGTAGCATGAATCTATTTTCAGCGACGTACATGGTGCATCTATGGTAATAAAGCCTCCTAAAAGAATTTTAACACCCTATGGTGGTCGTCTAGAATGGGATTTACCCGGTGGAAATAAGATCATTGCTCATATCAAAGATAAAGCTAAAATAAGACATCGTAAGAGATGGAGTCAGGTAATGTTATGAACAATAACAGAAATAGAAATCTGTATTGAGCTTTGAGATGATATGTCTCTCCGGTATTGGAAACTCTAGAGTCTGTATACACAGAAAGATTGTGCTAGTGATCAGAGGAAATGTATTCAATTGTTGTATAAACATTTGTTTTTATTCTTGCCTTTGCCAAATTTCACAAGAGAGGATGTGTCCAGATATCAAATTTTTGATGCTATAGCTTAATTTAAACTCCTACGTGTTAAACGATTTCATGTTTTTCTAATTTTCCGATTTTGGTTTCAAAAGCTTTGTCATTTTAACATAGAAGAAGTATATTTTATTACATCATTGTTTTCCTGGACTTCAGGTGATGTATATGTACTACTTTCTTGGTTTCCAACTTCTCAACCAAAAACTTTCTATGAAGCGGAAAAAAGTTCGAGCTGAAAACACATTTCTCTTGGCTCTTGACGGTGATGTTGATTTTCAACCAATGGCCGTTCAGATTCTAGTTGACCGAATGAAGACCAATCCTAACTTAGGAGCAGCCTGTGGTCGTATTCACCCAATAGGTTCTGGTAAGCGTTTATTTTTATTTGTTTTATTTGTAAACGCTTCTAAAATACTTAAGTCCTAACTCCTTACTTAGGTTATATTCACCCAATTCTGTGTTTATTCTTACATGCTCTACGCCATCATGTTTTGAACGTAATAAAACTCATAATTATCGCAGGATTTCTGCAATGTTGTTGTTTATTCACCATCCTTTGGTTGCTCAGTGCAGACCCATGTTTGTGTTTCTTATTAATAGCTACTTCTATAACGTCACGAAGTCCATTGACGTAAATGTATATCACTATTGCAGGTCCTATGGTATGGTATCAGAAATTTGAATATGCTGTAAGTCATTGGCTAGCTAAGGCCACTGAACATATGTTAGGTTGTGTACTGTGTAGTCCAGGATGTTTCAGTTTATTTAGAGGGTCGGCTCTTATGGACGATAACGTTATGAAGAAATACACCACACCACCAACAGAAGCCAGGCATTATGTGCAATATGATCAAGGTACTCATTTGATTAACGTATAGCTTTAATTAGGTCAGGAGGAAATAAGTATTTATCTTTCGTCATAAGTATGGTCCATCGTTTAATAAGATACATTTTAAATCATTATACTACCACATTTTGTTCATTTGAGTGCAACCTTGAAATACATGATTTATGGCCATTTTAGGCGAAGACCGATGGCTGTGTACATTATTACTACAACAAGGATATAAGGTGGAGTATGCTGCAGCCTCTGATTCCTATACATTCGCTCCAGAGGGTTTCTATGAATTCTACAACCAAAGAAGACGCTGGACGCCTTCTACAATGGCCAATATTCTAGACCTTCTAACAACATGGAACACAACAACTAAGAATAACGATGACATATCATGGCTGTATATGTTTTATCAGGCTAGCCTCATGGTTTCGAGGTATGTCTACTCTTCAAAATAAAAATCAATCAAAAATCTCGTCCAAACTACTGCATCATAATGTCTAAAGCCTACATAATAAATGTGGTGACATATATCATGTATAACTGCATAATTCCTGAATCATTCAATATGGCCCTGAATGACACTAAGATGTCTTCGTAGAGAAAGGAACTGCTTGCTTTATGCACTGTACTAGATCCACGGACAGCACCATGTTTATGTTGAGCTGGTGTCCACCAAACTGATATCTGATATGAGTATATGACTATAAAATGTTTAACGTTTCAGTATTATAACCCCTGGAACGATCTTTCTGTTGGTGCTAGGAGCATTACGGACTGCCTATAAAGATATACCATTATACGGAGCCTTGGTTATTAATTTAGTACCTGTGGTATTTTTTGTATTTCTTTGCTTGAAAGCACCGTCAAAGTATCAGGTATGTTCTCCTTAGCATCCATGTATTGACCCTTTACCAGCTGGACACGATCTGTCACTGCAGTGGGAAATAATATCCTGTCTTTGAATGATGATAGTCTGTCATAAGAAGTGAGGTTTCTCTGAAATTCAACATCTCACCTGCTGTAAGTACATTTATTCACCATACATAATATACACACACATTAGGCACAATACAATTTCTTTCAGTTGGCCTACGCCGGTATCCTGTCTATATTCTATAGCCTGCTAATGATGTTGGTCCTTGTGGGATTGGTACGACAGGCTGCTGAATATGGATTCTGCTCAGTGACCACCATCTTTCTAACCACAGTGTCATCAATTTTTGTCGTCTCCGCCTTCCTTCATCCACAAGAGTTTACGTGTATTCTGCATGGATTTTTGTACTTCCTGACCATTCCATCCATGTCCATGTTACTGGTAATCTACTCTCTAGCCAACCTTCACAACGTCTCATGGGGAACTCGCGAAGTGAAGCAGGCAGTTCCTCCGCCTAATAAACAGGTATTGACAAGAATTATTTATGGACTTCATTGAAGTACATATTATAGATTTATGTTATGCTGACATATATATTGGGTTATTAAATGACAGCATATTTATCTTTAATTGGTCAAGATCTGTAAACTAAATAGTCTATTGTAAGCCGCTGAGATCCAGTTAAATTGGAAACCAATAATAACTGAATATGAATTGAAATAAACGAGTTATTGTGTGTTCTCTGTATTGATTTCGAGTATAATTTTCAAGTAATAACTGTATATAAATGTGTATTATAGGGAACGCCACAACCACAAAAGAATAACAGATTACAGCAACTACTTGGTAAAGTGGTAGACACTCATAATGCTAATGATTCAGATTTTGGATTTCGATGTGGAAACTTATTTACCTGTGCCTGCTGCCCAACTGAAGATAATTCTCGAGAACAAATAGAAAAGGTACGTAGATAAACGAGAACATTTCTCAGAAACTGATATCTGATATCCATATAATCATTCTCGGGGTATGCTGGATAAGTGGATGGCTCAGCAACTTAGACGTGGCTCACAACCAAAGTGTTCCAAGATTTGGTTCGAATTTATGCCTTTAATTCTCAGATCTCTAAGGTTTCCAAAGGGGATCGCAGCCTTCTTCGACATGTGCAGGTCATGATGTAAAACATCAATAAACAATAAACCGATATAGCTTCTTCTACAGGATGTGCAAATAAACGATCCATGGGCTCGGGACTCTCTTCATTTGTCCTATAGGAAGCGGAAACACTCTATTTTATGATATTTAGATTTAAGACAGAATCGTGCTGTAATTGTTTTAGTATATGTTGACTTCATTAATACATTATTCATTTTTAGATCATCATTGCTAAACTTGATGAAATAGACGAAAAGATGACTGAAATGACGGAAGCACCATCAAGTAGTGTAAGAGACGTCAGTGATCTCCCCTTGGATCCAACTTCGCCTACTTCTGCTGCACCATTTTCCAAAGTATCTGATCTCTTCGAGGGAACGGGAGAAAAGGGTTTGTACAAAATCTGATTATAGATACGCTGAAAATATTTTATATGAAATACACTTATTTTGTATTCGAAGATATTGCGTTTACTACACACATGCAATGTACGATAGACAATTAACTATTTGTAAGCCTATACATGCCCTGATAACATCGATTTTCTCGTACCAACTTGTTCAAGCTGCACATGTTTTTATTATTTACATTTTAGTTAATCCAGTGTTTCAAGAAGAGAGGTTTGGTATTCGTTTCAATGGTGAAGCTGATAATCCAACCTGGATTCAGGATAAAGATCTAGGAGGTGGGGAAATTCAGAGGGTATCAGAACAAGAGTCGGAGTTCTGGAACGATTTGATTGGTAAATACTTACATCCATTGACAGAGGATGCCGATCACAAGAAGAAGATACAAAACGAACTGATTGAACTACGAAATAAGGTCTGCCTGGCGTTCCTCTTACTAAATGCACTTTTCATTATCCTTATTTATACCTTGGAAAGCATTTCTCAATCAACTGAAAACCTGTCATTTGAAATACCCTGCTCAGATCCCAATTTCAAGGGTGAAAAGGTCGAGCCAATTTCCATGACTTTTACTATCGTTTTTGGAGTCATACTAACTCTACAATTCATTGCTATGTTGTTTCACCGCTTCTCAACATTTCTACACATAGCCGCTATAACCACTCTTCATATTAGATCTAAGATTTCCAAGAAGAAAGATAAACGATCCACAGTTACTGTTGAAGAAACGATTGATCTAGTCCGTGAAATGCAAGCTTTAGTTAACGATGATGGTGCTTCTGTAACTACTGAAGGTGGTGATGCAAAGAATCAAAGACAATCTGGTCGAGACCGATGGCAGAAGGTTATGTTAGCTAAACGCAAAGGTCTTCAAACACCCAAAACACTGGGGAAAGCATTTCAAAAAAATTTTCAGAAGGTTATAGACCATTTAAAAGCGGGCGAAGTCAGTGAAGTTTCGGGAGAAGATCAGAGCAACGGTCTTCGTAAAATGTTCAACAAATTCGAAAGTAGATCGCTAGCCACTATTGTTAAAATGGCACAAGCTTCACCAGACGTAAAACAAAAGCTTATTTCCAAAGCCCAATCAAATTGGGGAAAACTTCGTAACAACGTGGTTGGAGAATATATGATGGGAGGATTGGTTGATCGAGTGTTAGAATTGAAAAGACAAGAGGAACAACTTTCCACGAGTTCTAACTTCCTCCAGATACCTGATCCGATCGATTCTCCGAATACTTCTGCTCTTATGGAAATTGCAAGAAAATATAAAAAACGTGAAATGGAAGAAGAAATACAACAGAAACACATCAATCTGGAGGCTGAAGAGGATCACATCACATCAATTGCTAGTCGACGATCAGCAAGAGTCAACGAATTCCCTCCCCGTAGCCATCCTCGACAGCGGCACCAGAATATACAGGATTACCCTCCACCACCACCCGACTCTGATTTGGACTAAATATTAATTTCAACAGTTGACATTATAGCATTTTATATAGTATTTATTTATATGTATATTGCATTATGTAGTAATGGGCTAAATCAAATCTTGCCCCCCCCCCCCCCCCCCCCTTAAAAAAAAGTACCTTTTCTTAAGAGCGGCCGAAAACTGAGT